TTAAATATTTACTTGTGAAAACCTGCAAATATTTTCATTAGGACAGAGCTAAAATCTAAACAGGATTAGACTATCTGGGATTTATTCTTAATAAGATCTCTCCAGCTTTGTCATTTGCTGTTAAAGAGCAGTTAATAAAACCGTATTCAGCCAGAAACCCTTGGTCTTTTCCTCCTAATTCTTACCTACATTAGCCAGAAACCAACCTAAGCACTTAAACAGACTGACTGTTTGATTCAAATGTTTGAGAAGTGGTAGGTTTAAACTCGACAAAGGGTCAGCAACCTTTGCCACTGGAGCCCAGAGTCTCTTTAAGCCCACTGTAGAAGCTTATTGATAACAGGCTAAAAAAATCTAAAAATAAAGTTGTGTTTTTTTTTCTTCTATAATTGCTTTTAAGAAGCCAGCTTTAGCTTTGTAGAACTTGTTGTTCTTCATTTCTCCTTTTTTTTCAGTCACAAATATCTTTCCCCCCAGTTTATTGTAGATTCAATATTGTTTTATTTTATATTTTTTCATTCATTTTTAAACCTTATGTGTAAAATCCTTTAAACCTAGAAGCTTAATTGTACACAGAAATAATTATTTTTCTGGATTAGAAAGTGGATCTGTGCTATTCCTGTTTATCAAACCACTATCTCTGCTTTGATAGAGAACTTAAAAATGCAATTTCTTCAGTCTCGCCGAAATGATCTTTAGAGCTTTTCTTAATATATTGAAACATGTTATCATAATATAAACTGTACAGAGTGCCACTATAGTTGCAATAACATACAGCCAACTCAAAAGCGGGAAATACCACATAGAGGTTTGAAGAGAAACAGGGCTGTGATCTTTTGGGGTTTTCAGATCCAGACTGGAGGAGTGGCTACAGCAGAATCCAGGAAAACATCTCTGAACTCTCTGTCCAGAACAGTGCAGTCCTGAGGAAAGCTAAGTAAAGCTCCCAAACCTCTGGTAAAGCACCAGTGCTTTTAGTGGAACAACTAAAGGGGATAGAGCAAGTTTATACACTTCACATAATGGTTTGGACTGGTTATCCCCACTGGTTATCAAGTATGGAAAACTTGTGTTGACTGTGGAAATGATGCATCGTCAAAATGTAATGTGTTTTAAAAATCGTTATTACTGCATGTTTTTTTATGAAATAAAAACCCTAGAGGAATATTTAAAATTCATAAATTTCATTTATTAATGTCAATATATTGTGACTTCAGGTCTTGTCTGATTTATGATTAAAAACTCTACAAAGTGTTGTTCTTTAACATGATAAAAATGTATGCCAAAGAGAAAGAGGTGCTGAATTAAACACCTCTATTTCTCCTATTTTTTTTTCTTTTCTGTTTCTGTGAATAAACATTTTCTTTGTCTTGGGGTGAAACAATCGGACTAATCGCAATGAATCGATTATTGAAAAAAGCGTCCACAAATTTAATAACTGATTAATCTTTAACTGGAGTATAGCGACTGTAAGACATGCCTTTAGCTGCTAGAGCAACCCACCTTTAGTAGTAATTATATCAAAATTGTAAAATATATATATATATAAACATTTGAAATTTAAGATTAAAAAATAGTTTTTGCCTGTCACTTTGCTCTATCCAGAACTCCTCAAGTGGAAAAGATTTAGTTCACCTGGTTTAATGTCATAAAAAAATCTTTAAGGAACCTTTTGCTATCTGATTATTAATCAATTAATAAAGAAAATAATGCATAGATTAATCGATTTGCAAAATAATCAGTAGTTGCAGCTCTAGTCTTATAGTTTACTTAAGTAAAGCAGTGAATAAGGTCAGGACTATATTGTCCTATGCCTTAATTCATTCATTAAATGTTCCCCTCTCAATTTTTTTTACTTTGCTATCATGTTTTTCAAAAATAAATCAAAACAATTAGATGCTCTAATGTTGGGTAATGATTGAACTTTTTCTATGTTATAAATAACATCATATTTTCCCTTCAATATATTTAAGCTTATGAAAACAAAATTTTCCTAGGCTATTTGTTGCTAACACCTTCTCTGGCACAACATGCAAAATAGCTTGTTAAACACACAGACCACACTGAATTACAATATGCTGAAGACTATGCTTTTATTGCTATTTAAAAAAAAGATTTACATAGTTGGTAAATTTGACTACTTAAAAATCAGAAAAAAAAGGTTATAAAACAGATACGCAGATGATGGAAAAGACTTTAACATTGTTTTGGTCATAATTTATAATTTTACTGTGATAAAGAATCAAACAAATAAAGAAAAACAAAACCAAATGGATTGAATGCTAAGAGGTTAATTAACTTAGCATTCACTGACTAAATGCACCTGTGTGGCCTCTGTCATTTCTGAAAATGTCAGTAAACACACCATGAATTTAGAGCTTAAAGCTTGCAGAAACTTCCACTTAAAAGGTTGTGAACGCCAAAAGGTGAGCGGTGTTCATAATTAACTTTTCCTATAAACTCGACAAACCCCCAAATATGTCAAAGGGCATTCAGTGTATTTTCAGTTTGTAATTTTTGTAAATACAAAACATCACTTGGTTACTTGATACTTAGCAGTTTTTTTTTTTATTATCGTTTTCTGATTGTCATCATAATCATTATTGATTACAAAAAAGCAGACATTGTGCTTAGATTGAAAAAATAATTGTTGGTGCTAAGCATGCTCACCATGCAGGCACCAGCTGGAAGAATCATGACAACACTCTTCATTCATCTCACATATTTCTGAAACAGAAAAAGGTTCTGTGTTGATTTTCTTCAAGGTAACCTTTAATATTCCCTTTTCTCAATGTGTAATCTTACCATTACTGCCACCTCCTGCAAACCTGCACTAAAGCTCCATCACTGTCAAATCAGACGTTTGACAGGTAGTTTAGTTAAACGTTTATCATTTAAAGACCTTGTTAACTCATCGGGTTGGTCAACACAAGCAAATGCCACTTTGGGGGCCTAAGTATGTAGTATTTAGGTGAAATACATTTTGGCAGTTAGAAAACGTCGGCACAGTATTCTATTGTTATCTTCTCTTTATAGTATCTGTTACATTGCATGTTGGTGTTTATTTTTTGGAGGGAGTCTGACAGGTTTACTGTACACTGCAAAAAATGTAAATCTCTTTAAGTCATTTTTTCTTAAAATAAGTGCATTCTTTCTTGAATTGAGGAGGTAAGTGAGACACATTGCCAATTCACAATTCACATTTAAGAAACAATCGCATTGTCTTATTTCCATTGCATAATACCTAATTATCTAATTTTAGGAGTAAAAATACTCATTCAATTGGCAAATAACCTTATTTAACTATCTATCTATCTATCTATCTATCTATCTATCTATCTATCTATCTATCTATCTATCTATCTATCTATCTATCATCCATCTATCATCTATCTATCTATCTATCTATCTATCTATCTATCTATCTATCTATCTATCATCTATCTATCTATCTATCTATCTATCTATCTATCTATCTATCATCCATCTATCTATCTATCTATCTATCTATCTATCATCTATCTATCTATC